CACACACTCTCTCACACACACACACACTCTCACACACACACACACACACACTCACGCAGGGCCGGATCATTGTTTGTCTCATGTTAGGTTTTGCCGTGGGAAGGACTCAAAACATGATTGTCATTCAGGCGCCTCATTGGTTCATTTTTTTTAGTTGTTGATGGCAGTGTCATGATTTCTGGCTTTATCTGTCTGATTATGTCAGAACATCAGCTGAGTTTTCACATCCACTCACGGATGCTAGTTTGACTGTGGGACGTCTCTTTTGCTTTCCTCATCTTATCGGTCTCATTTATTTCTCTGTGTTTCTCTCTTTCTCTCATCATTTCAGTCTCAGTCTCAGTGGTGATTGTTTCTCACAGGCACACGGTCACATCGAAAGCATTAACACGTTCATTTATGGAAGACTGTTTCTTCAACTAAGGACAATTTATGTCCCAGTGATTGATTTTTATTCAGACTAATAGATTTCGACTTTTCTCTTTTTTGCTATATGAAAGTCACATTATAACTGGAGATTTTTTTTTAGCAAGACTTAGTTTTGATACTTTTCAAATGCCTTTTATGGTTTTATGTTTTTAATTTTAAAATGAAAAAAAAAAAAAATTATTAAAAAGGATTATTGCACGTTTCAAACTTTGAAGATATTTTAATATTTATTTTGTGTGTGTATTTGTGTGTATTTATTGATTTTGGGAAAGCTATGGATTTTGCAAATTGCAGTATATTTATAAATATATTTTTTTATATTTTAAAACATTTTTTTGTGCATTTTCGATAAAACTGTCATTTTGACGGTCTAAAAATGTTAAGGATGCGTAAAATGCTTGCTATATTTTTTGGTCTTTTCTTGGTTTTATTCCAAAATATATATGTAAAAAAACGGCTAATTTCCACCACAGAATTATGATTTGAGATGTGATGAAATGACGCTGTGGTGGAAATTTTTGTGAGGGTTCATGAAAGCAGTGTGTTTATCAACTGTTAAACATTAGAATTATTAGTGGACAAATTAAATTAACGAGTATAAAACGTGTGTTTTAATGAAGTTTAATTTCGAAAAGGACTAAAAATTCCCATAGTTGAAGAAACACCTGAATTCAAACAGTACACACATCTCTAAAAACTTGTGTTGATATTTAATAATGAGCCAGTGTCCCATCCTGTAATATTTGAAATAACTAGTCATATGATGTTTAACAAAGGGACCAAAAAACTAGAGGAAACAGTCCTGCCTACTAACATCTGGATTTGAACTGAAGCAAGTCTTTTCTTTCCTATTCCTTATTAGTTCCCCTTTATTTCTTACAATAAGCATTCTTTTCTATTTCATTAATTCTCTGTTTTCACTTTTCTTGATTTCACTTTTTGCATTTGGTGTGAAATTGGCCACTGTCCCATAAATCAGTTTACTTTACTTGAAATTTCCATGGTAACAACTTACTAAACCATTTAAACCAGCACACCTGGTGCAATTATTGTAACACCAAGGATGTTTTTCCAGGCATATCACTAATACAGTCCATGATCAACAAAGCCATCTAATCTCATTGTCCTAAAACTGGTTTCAGGTTCATTTTCTGTGGAAACCATCAGTGTTCTTTTGTAAGTCTGGAGTTGGAGCTTTGAATGAAAAGCCTGAAAAAGAGAAAGATCAACCATTTACATGCACAAGAATATTCAGATGTTAATGAAAATGTAGTCATACAAATCAAATTTAGGTAACACTTTATTTCGATAGTCCACTTTAGACATTCTACTAACAGTAAGTAACTTTGCAACTGCATGTCAACTAGCAGTCATTAGAGTATTAGTAAACTGTCTGCTAAATATCTTCTAACACTTTATTTTGATGGGTCCACAACATACAACATACTGACTATGAGACACTTTGCAAGTATATGTCAACTTATTCTACTAACCCTAAAACTAACCTAACAGTCTACTCTGACAGTTAGTAGACATGTAGTTGCAAATTAAT